CGCTGCCCAGAGCAGGATGACCCGGTATTGCCCCCAGCACCCGCCCCCCGGTGGGTGGCGGCGGCCCCGGAGCCCGGGCTCGGCCCCAGCCGTGTCTCACAGCCCCCCCCTCATGCCCCCCCTCTTCAGTTCGGCAGCGGCATGCTGGACGTTGGGATGGATGTCAGCCCCCCCGAGCCTCCGTGGGACCCCCTGCCTCTCTTTCCAGGTAGGAGACCATGTGCCTCCTCCACCCTCAGCGTCCCTCCTCTTCCCCGGTCCTCACACCCGACACCCTTGCCCAGCGGGGGGCCCTCGCCCACGCGTCCGTGGACACTTTGTGGACTCTTCTCGGGCTCCGCCTCCTGGTTATTTCCTACCCCCTCTTCCTCCAGATCTTCAGGTGAAGTCTGAGCCGTCCTCTCCCTGCTCCTCCTCCTCTCTCAGCTCCGAGTCGTCGGGCCTTTCCACGGAGCCCTCCCCCCAGGTGAGAACCCCCCACTGGGCCCGGCGAGGACTCCTCCCGTCCCGGCGCCCTAGGTGCTGAGGGGGATGTGTGTGGGGTGGGCCTTCTCTCCCTCCCTGTCATTCTTCACATTCTCACTTGCTGTAATATATATATATGTATATATTGGTTCCAGAGAGGAAGGGAGAGGGAGAGAGAGGTAGAAACATCAATGATGAGAGAGAATCACTGATCGGCTGCCTCCTGCAAGCCCCACACTGGGGATCGAGCCTGAAACCCAGGCATGTGCCCTTGCCTGGAATCGAACCCGGGACCCTTAAGTCCGCAGGCCCACGCTCTATCCACTGAGCAAAACTGGCCAGGGAAAGGGGAACCTTTTTAATGCATAGAGGTGCGTGGCAGCGTGCGGGGGCGGGGACTTCCGGAACTTCCTGCCCAGGTTCCCCTCTGAGTATTTGAAACCGTGAGATGCCGTCACCCTCCCCGGAGTCAAGCAGGAGAGAACCGGGCCAGCGGCAGCTTAGGGAGCTGCTGTGCCATTCAAACCGAATGTCGGAGCATAGGGGTTTGTGAGCTGCAAAGCCTTTGTTCTGCTCTTACTCTCAACACTTCCCCTTTTTTGTTTCCTTCTTTCTGCGCCCCCCCCCCCCCACCTCTACTTTCACCCAGGCCCCTGGTGTAGGGGAGGTGCTGGTTGTGAAGATAGAGTCCTTGGCACCACCGCTCTGCCTGCTGGGAGATGATCCAACATCCCTGAGTGAAACGGTCCAGATCAATGTGGGTCCCACCGCTGATGACCCCTCAGGTACTCACGGCCCCCCCGCCCACCGCCCCAGGCTTTACCAGGGAGGACAGGACAAGGAGGAAAAGGTGGGCGGAAGTGACAGATAATCAGGAGAAAGGCCGGGAGTGGCCGGGAGAATTTTAGGAAACCATAGCAAGGGCAGCACTGATGAGATGGGTGTGATTTTTCTTGTTCCTAGTACCTGCTGTGTGATTTAACTTCCTGTTGCTTTGCATGTTTTAAAGACTTTGGACAGTTTATGGCATAATTATTTATATTATTTTTTTCACTCTAACGTTTTATTATAAAAAATCCTAAACAGCCGTAACCGGTTTGGCTCAGTGGATAGAGCGTCAGCCTGCGGACTGAGGGGTCCCAGGTTCGATTCCGGTCAAGGGCATGTGCCTTGGTTGCGGGCACATCCCCATTGAGGGGTGTGCAGGAGGCGGCTGATCGATGTTTCTCTCTCATCGATGTTTCTAACTCTCTATCCCTCTCCCTTCCTCTCTGTGGAAAATCAATAAAATATATTTTTAAAAAAAATCCTAAACATACAGAAAAGTTGGAATATAGACCCAACTCCTAGATCCTATAACCAACATTATTTGTGCTGTTTTTAAGTGTTACCAAGTTTAGGTACCCTTCTGTTTATTCAGTAAACATTTATTGAGCACCTACTCCATACCAGGTACTGGACAGGGTGCTGGGGATGCAAAAATGACAAAGACACGACCAACACGCTGACAGGAGACTCCTGTAGAGTGGTGGGGGCGGAAGACGTGTAGCAGTGCACACCGGTGTGCCCGCTGTGGCGTCGCTCTCGGAGCGCTGGGCCCTTCACCCGGAGCTGCATCAGGATGTGCTGCAGAGGAGGGCTTCCTGGCTGAGCTGGGAAGGACGCGTGGCAATTAGCCAGAGGAGACCGAGGGAGCGGGCACGTGTGTCTTTACACTTGGGTTGCGGGTGAATTTCCCGCCAAAATATAAGATGGCGCGTTAAAATGCCTATATCTTTTGAAGTATGGGTTCGATTGAAATGAAATATTTGGTAATACGCAGTTACAATCGGCCCGAGTTTACACGTTTCCCGCACTCCACCGCAAATCTATATGAACCGAGTTTAAGACGGCTCCCGCGGAGTACACGCAATTCACGCGAGCCGACTTAACTCGTTTCCCGCAACCCAAGTGTTTAGATGGATAGGAGCAGGGATGGGGATGGCAAGGCGCCGTAGAGGTTGTAGGGCCGGGGGGAACCCTGCTGAAGGACTCTTCGTTGGTGTCCTGTGGGCAGTTGGGACCCTCTGAAGAAACAGGCAGGAGCGCAGTGTGACCAGGAGACAGCTCTGGTGGCAGAGTAGAGAATGGACTGCAGAGGCGGGACTGGAGGCCGGAGGTAGAGAACCAAGGAAGAGGCTCCCGCAGTTAATCAAGTAAGGTATTTGGATGCCGAGAAGAAAGCAAAAGGAATAAAGTAGAATGGATGAGCTGCAGTGACCTCCTGGGCATTGAGCAGGGGTCGAAGAGGAAGCCTGGCCTTCTGGCTGGGCAGCTGTCCAGCGGGTGATGGTGCTGTCCCCTGGATAGCGGTGTGAGAGCAGGAGCCCTCTGCTCAGGGGGCACGAGGAATCCAGGGCTGGCCAGGCTGATTGTTCATCTCAAAGTGCCTTCAGGGTTTCCTGGCACTGCCTCCCAACCAGAAGCAAGAGGGCAAGGGAGCCGGTAATGGAATCCACTCACGTTTCCTCCTGGGATTCATGGGGCAGGGAAGGATGGAGGGAGGATTTGGAAGAACAAACATCGTATCCAGCACATTATTAAAAATTGCAAAGAGGACAAAGATCGAAAAGCCTTGAACAGCAAAAACATTGTTGATGACTTTACAAACAGTAGTGTTACTGGAGTCAGATTCTCCCCTACGACTTGTGTTTTTTAAGTATATTTTATTGATTTTTTACAGAGAAGAAGGGAGAGGGATAGAGAGTTAGAAACATCGATCAGCTGCCTCCTGCACACTCCCTACTGGGGATGTGCCTGCAACCAAGGTACATGCCCTTGACCAGAATCGAACCTGGGACCATTCAGTCTGCAGGCCAATGCTCTATCCACTGAGCCAAACCGGTTAGGGCAACTTGTGTTTTTTGACTTGTACTTTACTCGTCACTTTGATAGACATGAGGCATAAGGCATGGTCCTTTCCTTCGGAGGGTCTCCTGAGGGTTGTAACAGGTGGTTAGTAGCTCAGCTAGTGGGTACCCTGAGGGAGGGTGGGTTCTGCGTGGCTGCTGGACAAGGAAGGGGAGTCACTTGTCACCGAATTCCCCGTTGTTCCTCTGGGATTTTTTAATCACATGACTGTATTGCCTATTCAAGAATAGAAATTGATTTTAAAATTTAGATTAGAAATATTGGTGATCATATAATTAAGTACCAAAATGAGTGGTATGGACCAGAGGTGGTCGCACACTGGTGACCTGGGGGCTGCCTCTGGCCCTTGGGAGGGTTTCAGTTCACCTCCGGGGGCACTCGGCAGGTCTTGCAGATTTAACAGGCCCCGAAGGCGCAGAGGTGACTGTGGCTTGGTGATGTGTCTGGGAGGCTGCCAGACGTAGGGAGGGAATTTGTGCAAAAGGACAAGCAGTGAGCTTTGTGTACGTCCAGTTGAATTTGTGTAAATGGTGGGGCATGAGAATGGAAGTGACGAGCAAGGAGCTTGGGCATCAGGGTCAGGGCACGGGGAGCCGTCATGGGCAGAGATTCAGGCTTGGCGGTGGTCAGCATGGAGCTGTGTGCTAGCGTTAGGCCAGGGAGAGATGAGAATCCAGGCAGACAGGAGAGTGGGCCCGTAGGAATGCTGCGTCTCTCGCTGCTTGGGCCTCTGCATGAATGGACCGGGCCTGTGAGGAAGCCAGGGACAGCGGAGGGCAAGGATGGCCCTGAGGAAAGCCGCGGTGG